ACCTGTGCCCCCTTTTGGTGTAGGCCAGGGCTCGCAACAAGAAGGCCAGTCACTGCTGTCGTAGCACTACCCACTCAGTGAGATTGGATAACACTGGGAAAACGTACCTCTTCCACTTGCAAGGGGCACCCTCAGTGCCCCTTGTGTACCTGTTTCATGAAGACACAGGGGGACAGGGACAGCACGAAGGGCAGGACCTTCTACTGATATGCCCGTCCCTTGAACGCGAACCGACCGCTCCACCGGGGGGATCTCTGTATACCCCTTGGCTGCTCCACCATCGAGGGTGGTGAGGGAGGAGGAACCACTAGGCCGGTCATGCACCTTCGGGAAGAATGGCACCAGAGTGGGGCGCTGACAACCAGTGCAGGCCACCCCGAGAAACCAGTCATCCGACCTCGAGGGCTCGGGACGCGGTGGAGGTTTCCACTTGAGCCCTACCCTCTCGGCGGCCCGGGAAAGCAGCTGTATTCGATCAAAAGGGTGCTTCTACTAAATACTGAGCAAAGGGTCTGAATACTTAGGACCATGTGATATTTCAGTTTTTCTTTTTTAATAAATCTGCAAAAATGTCAACAATTCTGTGTTTTTCTGTCAATATGGGGTGCTGTGTGTACATTAATGAGGAAAAAAAATTAACTTAAATGATTTTAGCAAATGGCTGCAATATAACAAAGAGTGAAAAATTTAAGGGGGTCTGAATACTTTCTGTGCCCACTGTATATATATATATATATATATATATATATATATATATATATATATATATATATTTTATTTTTTATTTTTTTTGTGTTCAACAGAAGAGAGGAGAGAAACATCCATGTAAACTCAGTATGACTAACCCTGCCTAAGGTTTTGCTAATATGCCAGCTGGCATGCACTCCACATGGTGAATTTATTCCATTGCTTCTTTATATTGATAGAAATTCCTTCCACTCTAATGATTCATTCTGGCATGATATAATGAATGATAGTAGCACTGGTACATGTGGACTCAAAGGGATAGTTCACAAATGAAAACTGTCATCATTTAGTCACCCTCAGGACCGATGAAGCACTCAAACATGTTGAACTAACAACCCAAATGCAGAAAGGTGGATGTTTTCTCCTCATTTCAGAAAACCACCAAACATTACAGCATTGAGGTGATTTTTTAACTTTGGATCTGTCTCTCATTAATGGGGCTGCAGCTAACCCACAATCCCTCTCACACTTTCTTCATCTCTAAGCCCTTCCTTCGCCCCATCTCTCTCACAGCCTGGAGCCATGCCTCGGGAAAAGCCATAATCCCTCAGGCCAATAGAAGACAGATGCTTCTCTTGCTCTCTCTGTCTTTGTGTCTCACTTTCTCTCCTTATCTCTCAGTCTGACACATACACATTAACACACATTTGAGTGTTGAGTCACCACACACCCCTTTCTAAAGATCTGATCCAGCCTGGGTTTTCAAGTCTTTGTAGTTCCATCTTTCTCTATCAGTCATGATGTAGAAATTAGCTCCCGTGGAAAGAGGATTTGGATGATGGCATATGGAGAGCAGCTGTGTGTCAGGAGGTGAACTGGACCTGATGCTGTACCTGCTGGACAGAGCAGGTGATTCAGGTTAACAAATTACTCTGGTGAAGGATGTTTATTTGATTTTGGTCTTGGGATCCTCACAGGAAACTGGAACAAGAAGTCCACAAGCTCTATGCAGATGTTTGTCCAAATCAACAAACAACAAGCACCTGCTTATCTCACATTTGCACACAATTTATCTGGCTGTGCTGAGGCTCAGTTTCCTGGGTTTTGACATTTAGTTTAAAGTCTAGTCCACTTTGATGCTTATTCTGGCCAAGAACCAGCCACTTAGACAGGAACAGACCATCTGACAGATAATGCCTTTTTACATGCATTTTAAACATATTTCTCACATATGCCTTTGTCTTTTTAAAGTATGACAGTAGTTTACTATTGTTTTTGAAAATTAGAAAAAACAAATATTGAATTTGAAAAGTGGAATCATGTGCATTACTTCTCAAAAGTTTGGAATTGGTACTTGCAAAATAATATTGTGATATATTTTTACAATAAAAAAGAACTGTTTTCTAGTTTCATATATTTTAAAATGTAATTTATCCATGTGATGTCAAAGCTGAATTTTCAGCATCATTACTCCAGTCTTCGGTGTCACATGATCCCTCAGAAATCATTCTAATATCCTGATTTAATGCTCAAGAAACATTTCCGATTATTATCAAAGTGGAAAACGTCTCGGTTACGTATTGTAACCCTCGTTCCCTGAAGGAGGGAACAGAGATGTCACGTAGGTGACTGACAAATTGGGAATTTCGCTAGAGAGACCAATCTACTTCAAGTGTAAACTAAACGAACCAATGCACATTGGCATGCGATGATTGCATTCAGCTGTCGCTGATTGCAGCGCGAGTATAAATAGGCAGCAGATGCAACGCATACTCAGGTTTTCGCTGAGGAGCCGAGCCGGTGACCTGGCCGGGGTGACGTCTCCGTCCCCTCCTTCAGAGAACGAGGGTTACAATACGTAACCGAGATGTTCCCTTTTACTCGGTCACTCTCGACATCACGTCAGTGACTGACGAATTGGGAATCCCTATCAAAGCGCCATGGATGCTGCCCCTTCCAGTGTCTTGTGTGAGCCACCTGTGCCCCCTTTTGGTGTAGGCCAGGGCTCGCAACAAGAAGGCCAGTCACTGCTGTCGTAGCACTACCCACTCAGTGAGATTGGATAACACTGGGAAAACGTACCTCTTCCACTTGCAAGGGGCACCCTCAGTGCCCCTTGTGTACCTGTTTCATGAAGACACAGGGGGACAGGGACAGCACGAAGGGCAGGACCTTCTACTGATATGCCCGTCCCTTGAACGCGAACCGACCGCTCCACCGGGGGGATCTCTGTATACCCCTTGGCTGCTCCACCATCGAGGGTGGTGAGGGAGGAGGAACCACTAGGCCGGTCATGCACCTTCGGGAAGAATGGCACCAGAGTGGGGCGCTGACAACCAGTGCAGGCCACCCCGAGAAACCAGTCATCCGACCTCGAGGGCTCGGGACGCGGTGGAGGTTTCCACTTGAGCCCTACCCTCTCGGCGGCCCGGGAAAGCATCGCCGTCATCTCCGGATCCGATTCAGGCCTTGCTTTCGGCAGCACTGCCGAATCTTCCTCTCCAGAGAGCTCAGGCTTGCCCTCCGATGCAGCGATCGACATCCGATCGTCAGGAGGAGCCCCAAAGGATACGGCTGGTACGCTCATACTCAAACTGCCCGAGCTACTGCCAGAAGTAGTCCTCCCCTGACTTCTGCCAGGAAGAGAACTAGATCGTGACAGAGGCACCGGAACTCCACCCCTTTTGAGGTAGTGGAGTCTGGTCCGCAACTCCGAGATATTCATCTTCCCGCAATGGGAACATGACTCATCCACGAATGCCACTTCAGCGTGCTTAATGCCTAGGCATGTGAGGCAGCGATCGTGACCATCACCTGGCGCCAGATAACAACCGCATCCAGAAACGCACGGGTGAAATGCCATCTTTAAAAAGACGTTCACCCGTGAATGGTCTTTTAGGATTGCTCTTTTAGTTGTGCTGAAGCACACAGGGGAGATGGCTGCCGCAACACTACAAGGGGTAGTGCAGCCTGTAGTTTGCACCCACTCAACGAAGGTCGACCAAACCGCTGTCGCACCGTAACACCCACACAAGAAACTCCTTTGAGTGCGCTGACTCGTTCAGAATCACGAAGCTTGGCAGGAGGAAAACGATAGCACTGCTCGGCTCCGAAGCGAAAAGCTGAGTATGCATTGCATCTGCTGCCTATTTATACTTGCGCTGCGATCAGCACAGCTGGATGCAATCATCGCATGCCAATGTGCATTGGCTTGTTTAGTTTACACTCGAAGTAGATTGGTCTCTTTAGCGAGATTCCCAATTCGTCGGTCACCGACGTGACGTCGAGAGTGACCAAGTGAAAGAGAACAGTTTTTGCTGCTTAATATTTTGTGGTCTTTTTTCAGAATTAATTAAAGAATAGAAAGTTCAAAAGAAAAGTATTTATTTGAAGTATAAATATTGTATAACATTATAAATTAATTTACTGTCACTTTTGATAAATATGTCCTTACTGAATAAGAATCAGTTTATTTAAAAAACAAATAAAATCTTACTGACCCCAAACATTTGAACGGAAGTGTAGAGATGCAAATACTAACATCAATTTTGAGCCCTATTTCATACATGATAAAATATTTTTAATGCATATTTATAATGTTAGTACATTTCTAAGATCAATTTAATTTTTTTATACCCTCTTTAACCCTGAAAAAGTTAATAACACACAAACATGACCAATAAACAGTTTTAAATCTCTTGACTTTATATTTCCATATAAAAATATTATTCTCATATACAACACCACCATAAGAAAACATGTACATGTACATCTCAGTGCTTTCGCTGAAAGCAGAAAACTCTTGAACTCCTTCACCTGTCAAGTAATAGATTGACATGACATTTCCTTAGGAAACTTAATCACACCACAAGGGGATTGGCTGACTAACCACCATCCACCACCATCTAACAATGAAGTATCACAATGGGGG